TAATATTGTGTTAAAACACGGAAAAACGAGCCCTTAGGTATACACTTCTTTCCCTTATATATATATATATATATATATATATATATATATATATATATATATATATATATATATATATATATATATGTTTATTGTGAGCGCTGACTATGTAGTTATGTAGTTCATCTTCATCTGTATGACAAAACCATTGTAGTGATCATCATCGTATGTCACTGACTGAGCGTTTTCACCGAACTTTGTCCGACATGATCTCTATGTACGTGCAACCAGATCACAAAAACAGGGACAATACTTCCTTTCGTCACGTTCGCATATAATACTGCCATACAGCGTACGACGAATTTCAGCCCTTTTTTTTCTCGTGTATGGCCGTGTACCGACTTTTGTTCTGAACACCACCTCTTTGTCCACATCTTCCAATCCATCTTCATCTCTCCCGGAAGAGTTCGCCGCTCGCGTCGCCCACTGCCGTAAAATCGCTCGTGCCAACACTGCTACCATTCAGGACAAGAGAAAAAACTACCTTGATGCGAAGCGTCGAGTTGTTGTGTTCCGCCCAGGCGACGAAGTCCTTTTGTGGACACCTGTTCGTGTACCTGGGCTCTGGGAAAAATTCCTTCACCGGTATCTCGGTCCATACACCATCCTGGAACGAACATCTGAAGTCAACTATCGCGTTGCTCCTGTCAACGCGGCTCCTGATCACCGTCGCCGCCACACCGAGATCGCCCACGTCTCTCGACTGAAACGATATATTCGGCGTCCCAACCTTTTCTAACTTGCTGCCCTCTTTCGCGAAGGGGGGAAAATATGGTCAGCAATAACGAGCCTATTAAGTACCTTTCACGCAGTGCAGAAAATGATGCACCGTGTTGTGACTCACAAACACATTGCAGCAAAAAAAAAAAAAAAAAACACGAGGCCAAAATTTTTGTGTCGATACACCTTTAAAAGGGCCTTACAACACTTTTTGAGCATGGTCAAAAAACGCTGCCGATCGTTGGTCGACGCTACCGAGCACACATCGAGCCAAATATTACCGCGCAGCACATGCGTGGCCTGCAATTCACAATAAATTCTCGAAGTCAGCTAAACATTGCTATCTTCTTTGGGCAAATGACGCCTCAAACTCAAAAATCAATCGTCCCAGCAGTTGTATCAGCCATTGACTGATTTGAGCACGGCGCGCTCGGTCGTTATTGGGGCCGCCGCGAGAGGGCGCCACTTGTCCACGCGTATGTGCGCGATCCCATTGAAAAGCTGCGTACTCGAAGAAAACAAGAGAGGAAATGTTCTCAAGAGTGACGATGCATACGTGACATATTTTCTTTTCCCATACCGTCCCTCTCAGCTTAGCTTCCAGCGCGTTTGTCAGGACGAGAAGAGAGAATGCGATTGCATCGTGCGACAAATCTCATCCGCTCGGCTCATACTGGCCAAATTATAAAAAGTTTTGCAATGGTGAATTCGTGAGGTAACAAGCTTCTTTAGTGACTCCATTCCATGGCTTCCTGAAAAAGTGTTGCTTGGCTTCTTTAAATCAACACATTACCTCAAATCAATTCATAATGTTTAAAGCTTAAAGGCTTGTTACGACAGCTTGTGTGTCCCAAGTGTACTGATTTTTAACATGTTACATATTTTACAGGTTATCAGTTGCTTATTTTGACTTCTCCTGAATGAAAAAAAAAATAAAAATAGGCATTTGCATAGATGCTTAATTTACTTAACAAAAAAATATAGTGCAGGTTAGTTAGGTCATGATAAATATGGCCATTTTCCCTCACGCATATATATATATATATATATATATATATATATATATATATATATATATATATATATATATATATATATATATATATATATATATATGCTGTTCAAATTCGATTTGAAATCATTTGACCAAAATCACTATTCGCTTCGAACCTAAAATTCACTATTCGGACAAGCCTACACTTTTCGCTCAGATCAATTTTTTTTCTAATTGAAAATATGAGAGTTTTATGCATATTTACAACACCAATATTTATGTAGTTGACAACAATTTTAGACATCTGGAAATCACTGGAGATATGAATTTAATAATGCTATACTGAAATAATGATAGCCAGACACAACACTAGAAACAAGAATATTTGAACATTTCATTGCTTTATTCCATCAAAATTTTTCTTTATTCATCACTACATTCCTTTCATCAGCAGAGTTCATGAAAACTCAGTCACCATGAGTACATTGTTTTCTTGGACTGCAATACATCAACAAGCTCGGACAGCACGTTCTGTAGAAAACTGTGATTTCATGAATATAGCGCTCTTTTTTGTCCGGCATCTGTAATTCTCATCACTGGAGAAAAATGAGGGGGCAGATGAAAAAAATTATGCAAATTGCAATGAGCAGCCTGACATCAACAAAAGCTATCTTGTAAACAAGAGATCGAATGAAGTTCGCTTATCTGTACATGCTCAGCACTGCATCAACAGACCATGTAACCCAAATTCAAGATAAGCCTAACTTTTAACATCTTGGAAAGGTGTCTTGCTGGGTAAGTCTGTATGACACCACCATTATAAATGTAGTGCAAAAGACTGGAACACAGAAAAGGAGCACACGTACACAGTGCTGACAATCAACTCAGGTTTATTGAGGAAAACGAAATTGTATCTTGTAGAAAACTAAGTTCGTTATATCCAAAGATTTTTATAAAGATATATTACCAACACTATATTTATTACAAGACTATTTTTAATTTACTTTGTTATAACGAATATTTTGTTATATACAGGTTCATTATGTTGAGGTTTGAGTGTACTTGGAAGAAATAGACGTGTGATAAGAAAAATAAATAAAATAAAATGTTTTCGCAACTGGCAATGATGAAAACTTCGACAGGGTGCAGCACTATTGACGGCCTCGTGACACACGCTTCTCCACATCTGTTGATAAAACCTCTTTCTTTTAATCTTGCAAGCACTGTTGCTTCTGTCAGCCTAGGCACGCACGGCAGTCCCTATAATGCAGCCAAAGCTTTGAGCGCGGTGGTCCGCTCAAAGAAGCCCTGTGGTCAAATAATTTATTATTTAAGCAACACTCTGTCTGCCCAGCATAGGTTTTCTCACAAGACAGAAGTATGTTGTGGACAACTCTCTTGCTACAGTGAACAATCTTTTGTTTCGTGAATGACGAGTCACTTGCACTGTAGACTGTTTGCCATATATAATAACAACAGCGGTCGCAAAGCTGGCCAGTTTAGCTCAGTTGACGAGCAGCAAGCAATCTTGTTTCTTTGCTGGGTGCACACGTGCATGACTCATGACGCTGGCATACGCATAGCAATTTACAGAGCATTTGGTATTGCGTGACGTGACTTATTGATGAATATAAATGAGTAGTGAAAATATGGAACTCATGGCATATCACTTGCAACATGATTTGCATGCCATGTTTGTGGTCAGTTAGCCAGCTTAAATGTGCACTAAATTAGGTATTGCATGACCGGTCTGTATGACAAGCACATGTGACACGTCATAAAAATAACACCATGAAGTATATGACATGTACACCACAACTTACATGCCACACTTATGGCGCACTCATGGCGGTTTCGTTAGCTTGATATATAACAAGTTAGGCACTGCATGACGTGATTGGAGAACGAACGTAAATGACAGCTAGTAACATGAAAATCACGGCATTCATGTCATGCAGAATACCATTTACATGGCATGCTCATGGTTAGCTCGCGTCTGGTTAGCTTGATATACACCAAAATCGGTATGATGAACATGCCTGTATGACAAACATAACTGCATGACGAACATAACTGACAGGTCCTAACATGCAAATCATGGCATGAATGTTATGCGCGGCGTGATTTGCTCCTTGCTGGCCGCTTCGTATTACACTGATTCTCAAAATGCATCAGATCTTTTGTATTTAATTTTTTTTGTCATCACGTCTAGTTCCTTCAGTTTGTGTGTGTTCCTCAATAAATATGAGTTGATAGTCAGTTCTGTAGTACGTGTGCTTCTTTGCTGTGCCTCTGGTTCTTGAGCTACATTTTATATGACGACAACATCTTGCTGTAACTGTAAAACAACTGTAGCATGCTTCAAGAGTTCTTTTAAAAAACAATGCACTTCTCTCTAAGCAATATAGTACGGCAAACATCAAAACCACCAGGCCTGCACTGGATGTGCAGCACAATTATAAGGAAAGCAGGAAGAGTGACCTTTCAGAGCCTTTTTTAAACACGCTTTGGGTAACTGCTACAAGCAAACTTGCAGGGTACCCCCTATGCCAACAGTCGTGTGTGGTGGAAAGGCATTCACTATGGCAACCTTTTTCATTCATTGAAGAAGTGAGGTACCCACTACACACTTGCAAGAAACTTGGTGCAATTTTCGATGCTGTGGCTTACGACTATGAAGGGTTATGCCGCTTAAACTTTTGCAATGGGTCGGAAAATTCGATGACCCTCTCGTTACGTAATTCGCATTATGTGAAGCCTGGTTGTTTCTTTGCTGTTCTAAAACACTTCATTGCTCATATTAACACGATTCCTTTGCCAACATCAAGCCTGCCTACAAGCAACCGAGTTTCAAGCAGCGGTGTGGCTCTGTGGTATGACACTGGGCTGGCACGTAGGGGACCCCAGTTTAGATCCCGCTGTGTCCTTGGTGTTTTTATTACCAAAGATTTTTTTTTTCTTATTTCGTGCGATAGTGGGTATGGACACTGGCAGCCGTGGACAAGAACAGCGCCACCCTCGTTGTGATAGCAGCTTTCGCTATAAAACAATCGAAGAGGACCATGACAAAAGAATCCTTCATGCCCTTGCACGATCACACATGTGGCCAATGAGGTAGTGTTTCAGCGTAAAAGACCTACTGATCTTCTGTGTGGGTGCGAATGTGGGGAAGATTCCATTTTAATGAAAAGGACGCGTTGCAGTACCCACACAAAAACGGGCGCTCTCCTGTGTGGGTACACAAATGTTTTTTTAGCGTAAAACTATGAGAAAAGGATGTTTGCATAGCTCACAGGTATAAGGGCGCTCTCCAGTGTGGGTGCGAATGTGTTCAGTGAGATTGTGTTTACGAAGAAACGATCCACTGCAGCGATCACAGGCAAAGGGACGATCTCCCATGTGGGAGCGCAAGTGGTCCTTTAGGTGTGCATTCTTTGAAAAGGCTGCGTCGCAGTGTACACAAGAAAAGGGACGTGCTCCAGTGTGGGTGCGCAAGTGAGCTGCGAGATTAGTCATTTGACTGAATGCAGCCGGACACAGGTGGCATGGGAATAGGCTTCCGCCCGTGTGCTTGCGTAGGTGTCTTCTCATGTGTCCCTTTTCGGTGGCCACATAGGTGCAAAACCGGCAGAAATGCTTTTTGCCTTTCACGGAGACGAGTCAAGTGTACTGCTCCGCGGATATCAAAGACGAGGAACCTGCAAAGCCAAGGGAAAAACAGGAAGGCGCTGCAAACAATGCACCACACACGTCATAGAAATGGAATGCAGAAACATACAATCAATTTGTAAATATGTGAGAACACTGCCCTGCTCGTAACACGTTAGTAAAAAAGCAGTAGTGCAACGAGGTGGCATAAGCTTAATACATGGGAATGCCCGCTGCTAACACAAAGAAGTGATTGTAGATTGTCATATTCATTAGCACAGTGGAGTGGATTAAGTGACTAGCCATTAAAGTGATTTCAGTATTCCTTTTTTTTTCTCATTGAGGTATATATATACAGTATAATGGAGCAAAAACATTACTTAATATATTTGTAAAAGCATAATAAATAAAATGTGAAAGAAATAATTTAGTATAAAATGATCTGGGAAGCATTTAAGAAGAAAAAAAAGCATTCACAGAAGTCTTCATAATCATCACAGTCTATGGTGGTAAAGCACGCAGACATATTTTTGTGCATGACAAGAGAATAGTTTTACCATGACTATTAGCACAGCCTACACATTTCAGCATCAATGTTTTTATATTGCTTCAACGGAAGCTTTATGATACAAAAAAAGAAACGCCAGGCCTGCGCGGTAGGTGCAGCACAGTCACAGCGAAAGAGCGGCCTTTCAGAGCCTTTTTCAAAACACTCATTGGGTAACTACTGCAAGCTCACTTGCTTGGTACCCACTAGGGCATTAACAATAAACTTTTGGGTAGTAGGCCGCCATTCGCTATGCTATTTTTCGTCATTCTTCTGAGAAGCGTGGTATTCGCTAAACATTTGCAAGGAGTTTTGTGCCAATTGTCCATGCAGAGGCTGACAATGATGAGGAATTATGGCTGAAGTGGGTATGCGCCACAGTTTATAGGGGAACAAGAACAGGCTTTGGTGATGGTTCGGAGAATTGGACGGCCCACTTGTTATGCTATTCACATTGTGCGACAACTACTTGTTCTTTCGCTGTTGTAAAGCGCTTTGTAAGTCGTATTAGTGAGATTGCTTTTCCGACATCAAGCGTGCCTAAGGCAAGTTTGACAACAAGTCAAAGCACTGGTGTAGCTCAGTCCACCACGGTCGACGAGATCTCTCTTCCGAGAAGCAGCTGCTCAAGTAGGCAGTGTTGTCGAGACGTTTGACCCCGTTTCGGAGTGGCTTCCCATTCTTGACGTTTGTGTTTGTTTGCCTGACTCCTGATGAAGTATGTTCTGTGTACTTTACTGGTGTTAATTTCATTCATTAAAGAAAAAAACTGAACGCTTACTTTCGCGATTTGATTGTACTTTTGTTCGCTTGATTTTGTCTTTATTGCCCAAGTACTTTAATAAATACCATGAAAAAAAACTGGTGTACCTCAGTGTTCTGGTCAAGATGTCTGTAAGCCATAGCGGTCTGCCAGATGCTGTGAAGGCTAATTAACATATCCATGTCGTATGGTATGCCGTCGTCCTCATCCACACAGAGAAAACGAATGCCATGGCTTGTAATGGGGAGATCTTTTTTCAATGTTCTTTGAAGGATGTCCCAATGAAAGACAGCGTCCCAGCAATGAATAAACACATGGTCTATTGTCTCAGGTGTTTTACAAAGTAAACAATTGGTTGTCCATGGTACATCGATTCCCTTGTCCGCTAGCCACTGCTTTACGGGGAGAGTCCCGGAATGCAATTTAAAAAAGAAAGTTTTTGCCCCTGCTTTTACTTTCATCTTTTTGACCCTTTTCAAAACATCCTGTCCGGGTCCTCCATTAAACATAGATCTGTACAAAGGTGTTGGGAACAAGACATCACGGAGATCCCTGTACAGATTTTTTCGCTTACCAGTGGCAAGATATTCCAGCGAAGAGCGCACTTTCAAAAACTCAAAAGACTGTATAACTTCTCTCAAAAAACCAGACACATATCGGCACTTATCACTGTTTGTAGACACAACAAAATCTGGGATGCGTGATGACAGCCTTACTTTTATCACATACGTCCTGTCCGGGAGAACTTCATTGCAAATATGCGGTATATCACTGATGTGTATAAACAAGAAGAAGAACCTCCCAGCTGGCTAACAATGTTAGAGGAATTGTGCAACCTGAAAAAATTTTAATATGAGCACTTCGGATCAAATATTGGTCCAAGTGTATTTTATCATTCATGTTTCTGTGTGAACACCTGTAAAGAAAAACAGGTAAAAAAAAAAACTGGTGTAGCTCAGTAGTAGAATACTGGGCTGGCACCCAGCGGTCCCAGGTTCAAGCCCCACTAAGTCATTATTGCCCTCCCAAGTTTTTTTTTCTATTTTTAACGACTGCGCGTGGTATGAAAAGTGATCTCATAACAGCTTTCGCTACAAAACAATCAAAGCAGTTCATTCACTTAATTAGGCTTCAGTCACTTACATGAAAACAATGCTGCCAGTTGATAGCAGAGGCTTCCGAAAACATGTGAACCAAACGTTATAACAGGTTAACTTTTTGCCCAGGTTAGTATTGCATTATTCAAGCAAAACTCTTGTTTGTGAATAAAATTGTTCAGCGAAAAACTGAGATGGCACAGGATGCACACTTACAACTAGTTTATTGCTCAGACGTCAGGAATATATATGCATGATTGGCTTGACAAGATGAAGCAACAATAAGAAAGGGAAAGCGGTGGTGTACATGCAGAAACACTTATTCACATGTTGAAATGATGCTTGAACCCATAAGATACCAATATTCATTGTTTAAAAAGTTTACAGACGGGGCACTCTCAGATGCTGTTCCTGCATTGGAAACAAAAACAGCATCATATATTTCATGACATCTTGCAATTACATGGCAATCATCTGACATGGGTGTGCACCCACACTTGGCACAGCAACTGGTTATGAAGATGGGTATGCCACTATCTGCAATCACCAACTACTTTGTCATATAAACAACTGCTGTCACGTTGGTCATTATCTGATTAAAGGAGTAAGTTCCATCCAATTTTGATGGCAGAAAATTATTCACACTTCAATTTGAAGTTCGTGTGCAAAGACGACCAAGGCGGTCAATCATTTGCACCGGAAATCATCGTGGGATTTTGAGTAGATCAAGTTTTTTTTTTCCTTGCATAAGCGGGCTGGTTGTTGCAAGCATCGCAAACTCTACCTGGTATTTGTACCCATGCTAATGCAAACATTATGAAACCACGTAATCAAAAGAGCCTCCGCACGGCAAGGGCTTTTCATGGCACTTCAGTTTTGTGCAGGCCTGTTTTGCAACACCGGTGCGCAAGCTCTTTAAACGTGCACTGCATTGATCGGAAACTAGCATCTCATGCACAGCCACGAATATTTGTTCATTGGAGAGCAATGTGAATTTCAAGAGTAAACATCTTTTAACTGTGGGATATGATCCACAGCCTTGTAGTGAAGCCTGATGCTCTGAACACTTGACCAAATGAGCATGTTTGCAATGCAGAAAAGAACACTTTTCACAAAGAAGCACAAGCATTTATACCCCTGATACATTTTCTAGAGTACAAAAATTTTCCTTTGTATTAGCCACCTCAACGAGATGCTATAGGTGCATTATTATTACTGAAAGATTGCTGTGTGTCTCACCTCACACTATTAACTTATTTTAACAAAACAGAAAATATTGTCACGAGGGTGAGAGAATGAATGCAATAAATATATTTACAAAATATACAGGGAGAATCAGAGGCAGCTGCAGCCAAGATGGAAGAACAGCAGCAACAACAACACGAGCATGCTCGCTTTCATCGTCTTCGTCGTCTTGATGCTCTTTTGTTGCCGATGTCGTGTAACAGTATTTGTAAGCTCGTCATTCCCGTTCCACATTCACAGACAAATGTATCACAATTTTTGTGACAGCCTCACATCTCTGACATTAATTCCACCCAGCTTTTCTTTTTGCTTCATATTGAGCAGGCTTGCTTTGCACTCTTTTTGCTGAGATCAATCTTCTATCTATTTGGAAATATAAAAGCTTTATGCATATTTATACCACCATGATTTATGTAGTTGATAACAATTTAAGACATCTGGAAATCCCCAAAGAAATGTTAATTCATTATTGCTATACTAATGATATGGTAGTGAAACATAACAAAAAACTTAAAACAAATATATCACAATTTTTGTGACAGCCTTACATCTCTGACATCAATTTCTCCCAGCTTTTCTTTTTGCTTCATATGGAGCAGGTGTGCTTTGCACACTTTTCACTGCGATCAATCTCCTTTCTACTTGGAAATATGAAAGCTTTATGCATATTTACACCACCAAGATTTATGTAGTTGACAACAATTTAAGACATCTGGAAATCACCAAAGGAATATGAATTCATTATTGCTATATTAATGATATGGTAGTGAAACATAACACAAAAAACTTAAAACAAATATATCACAATTTCTGTGACAGCCTTACATCTCTGACATTAATTCCACCCAGCTTTTCTTTTTGCTTCATATGGAGCAGGTGTGCTTTGCACACTTTTCACTGAGATCAATCTTCTTTCTACTTGGAAATATGAAAGCTTTATGCATATTTACACCACCAAGATTTATGTAGTTGACAAGAATTTAGGACATCTGGAAATCACCAAAGGAATATGAATTCAATAAAGCTGTACTAATGATATGGTAGCACAACATAACACAAAAAAACTTAAAACATGTTTAAATTTAATTTCTTTCTTCAGTCACAATTTTCTTGAATTCATAGCTCTATCCACTAAATGAGCATAGTCCACACCAAATCTTCATAAGTAGTATGTACCTTTCATAGACTTCAATACATTGATGAACTCACACCACAGATTCTGTAGAAAATGGTGATCTAATGAAATGCAAAGTTGGCTCCTTTTTAGGTGTTTGTACTAATCATTACTAAAAAGCATCTTGCCTGCTACACATATTAAATACAAATTCATGGGGAGATCAAGAAGAATCAGATCTGATCTGGCAAGCGACATCAATGGACAAGCTATTTCATGAACAAGTGCATAAAGCTTATTTATCTTCATGGGCTCAGCCCAGCAGCACAAGACTATGTAATCGAAATTGAAGGCAAGCCTATCCTTCAATACCTTGGCAAAATATCCCGAATGAGGGCCTTGCCCTTCAGAGGAACTTTTATTTCAATGGCATTTTTTACATACCACCTTCAGGTAGTATGTGAGGGATTATTGGTCAGCTAATAAGATCCCGAGCTACGTGACGCCAAAGGCAGAGAGAGTGTTCCACAGTCACAGTTGTGGATACCGATGGCACTGACTCACGCTCCATTGTTTAATCACACATATATACGCCCTGTGTGACTACTTGTCGATTGCAACCCAACCTGATACGTCCGGGCTTCACCAGTAATTACTTGTCACAGATAATTAGACCCAATAAACAAGTCGATCCCAGCATTTGGTGTGACCTTAGCTGAGCAATAATTTGCCAGCCACTTGCCTTATTTTCTCAGTGCTTGAATAAATTCATTCTCAGCTGATGGCACAGGTATATCTTGGTAAATTGATGGGACTACTACAGGTTCTAAGCAAAACTCAGCCTTGTTGATCTTTTTTGAAGCCGTACTTCAACGGCGTTATGGTTTCTTGCATCAAAAAAGCACGTGCTACCGAAGCTGTTCAGCGCTATATGTGTCTCGTGGACGACACTCAAGTTGAGTTTACGAGCTATGTCTTTTTGAATAAGAAATATTTGGCTACCTTCATCCAAAATACCGCAAATGCACTTACTTTTGCCATTGTTTATCACGTCGGCGCAATATATCTGGAGGTATACTGAAGCTTAAACACGCACAAACACGAACAAATACGATAGAGACACAGGGACCAGTGCTGATTGATATGTCTCTATCCTATTTGTACTCGTGTGTGTGTGCTAAAGCTTCAGTTTGCAACAAAGCCAACTAGCCCATCTCTCCGTTGTACCGCTTTATCCTTAGCCTGTTGATCGATGCGTGATGAGTCATTTCAGGAAGAAAGGACGCTAGAAGAAACACATAGTATGGCTCTTGTTGAGGTTTTTGTCACCGTCGAAACCCTCCAATTATTGAGATCGCATATGCTCGAAGCGTGTCTTCTACGGCAGAAAGTGCAGGTGAGCCAGACTCGGCAATCTTTCGCTGTATGTCCTCTTGATGCGCAGCGGAAGCACCGGTTGTCTTTCTTCAGCTGCCCCTTCTTGACTGAAAGAAGAATATCGGCGTCACAGTTGCGCGTCACATGCTGATCAACACGGCAAAATAAGCATGTCAGCCTTGCATTACACGTAATGTGCATCAGAGATGCCGTAGGGGCATCACCATGCACTTCATCCGTGCTATCGTTTGTGGCAGGTGTTTGACTTGGGATGCATGCTTGGGAACATTCAATGATGCTGACGCATCAGCTGGAGAAACTGACGAAGAGAGTTGAGCAGGACGCACGTCTGATGACTGTGTCAAGGTGTGGCGTCGTTTTTCTCCAGTGAAGGAAAGACTGATGTATTGCAGTAGAGCCTCTTACATGATGTTGACAGGCATAGCTAAATATGTATGCGTCGGCACGTTCAGCACTCTGAGGCAGCGAACTTTCAGTTGCATGGCATTATACAAATCTTCGTAACCCACTTATGTTATTGGCGCATGTCACACATGGGAGGTTTATCAATGCTGTCAAATGGTGATGAATAACCGTTATTTTATTGCCAAATCTTTCCTTCAGCATATGCATGCATCGGCGTAGCAAGATTCGGTTGTAGGCAAACCCGCGATGGCTGGCGCTGCGTCACCGGATGCGAAGCTCTTCAAGTAATTTAACTTTGTGGACAGTGCCAGCTTGTCATCGAGGTGAATTAGCTGTTCAAATTGCTCCCAGAAGCCTGTACACTGCGCTATGTTGCCTTTGAATGTCGGGATCTACAGCTGCGGCAACCAGGGTGCCATAAATCTTGTGGGAGCTTCGTTTCTGAAAGCTGTTGTTTCCGTGTTTTCAGTACTGCGAGATTGGGCATTGCTGTTCTGCTCCCATTCCATCTGACATGTTCAGTCGGGATATACTGCTCGTATTGCTCAATTAACCGGGCGAGATCATCGGGAGAAGATTCGCTGTTGTACAGCTGTGAGCTTCGCAACGTCGACACTAGCAGTGTCATGAAAGATCCGTGCTTCCTGAATTATCTTCGCGTTTTGTGCGAGTCGTGCAGATCGTTTGCCTTTCAGACGATCCATTGAGAAAGCACCGGCTCTGGCTGATGTCGTTGTACCAATGCCGATCTTCGCGATCCTTTCAAGTCTTCACTGCCCACGAGGTGAAGCGAGAGTAGAAGTCCTGTGCGCCGTGCATAAAGGGAAGGCTTGTCCTCACGTGGGTTTCCGGCACCAAAATTATGTGAACGCTATGACGTTAACAGCGGGGAAGAATTCAGCCAGAAGCCATCGTCGCCAGGATCGAGCGTCGTCTATTTCTTCTTTTTTGCCTTGACTGGCTGGCAGCATTTATTTTATTTTCAACACGCTATAAAGTGGAAGAGGGCATACCACCGTGTAATTCAGTGGCAGAGCATGGGACTCTTTACTCGAAGGTTGCAGGTTTGGTACCTGCAAGTGCATGTTATCTTTCCGTCCGCTCTTTTTTTTTGTCACACTTACATTGCGATTTTTTCAAAGAATAGCTCCTGTACTTTCCTTTGCATTATTCTTTGTTAGTTTACATTGATTCGTGATTCAGAATAAAAAATAGGCCCTTAAATTTACACTTCTTTTACTTCTCACTAAGTGATATGCAGAAAAAAACACATTAGCTGCAGTATCCAAAAACCTTTCAAGCCACATTTAAAGTTGCCATTTAGAGTCAAACAATCAATGAGCCCCACGAAGTAAGAGGGCTTTGCCGCCTTCTTACTTGTGCAATCAAATGTGGCAAATGAGGTTGTGTTTCAGTGGAAAGGACCTAGAACTGACCTCCTGTGTGGGTGCGAATGTGGCGAATAAGAGTGCCTCTCACTGAAAAGGACGCATTGCAGTGATCACAGGCAAACGGACGCTCTCCCGTGTGAATGCGCAAGTGCTTTTTTAGGTGCGCCTTCTTTGAAAAGGATGCATTGCAGTATACACAGGAAAAGGGCCGCTCTCCAGTGTGGGTGCGCAAGTGAGCTGTGAGATCAGCCATTTGACTAAATGCAGCCGGACACAGCTGGCACGAGAATGGGTGTCTGCCCGTGTGCTTGCAAAGATGTCTTTCCATGATCCATTTTTTTCTGGTTGTGTAGGTGCACAGCCGGCAGGAATGCTTTTTGCTTTTCACCGACACGAGCGAAGTGTACTGCTCCTCGGATGGGGCACCTGCAAAGCCATCAGAGGAACAGGAAGGCACTGCAAACAATGCATCTCAGACTCGCATGTCATAGAAATGAAATGCAGAAACATCTAATCAAGTTGTCAGCAGGTGAGAGCTCTGCCCTGCTTAGAGCAATTGTGCAACGAGGTGGCATAAATGCTCCATACAAAATCGCAACTCTCTTTACATAAATACTATGCTTAATACAAATATGCTTAATGCGTAATACACAGGATTTGCCATGACGTATAAGAGATGGTACGAATATTGCAAATAAATAAAAGCTGAAAATTGAACATATTAACGGAAGTTAACATTTCCAATGCAACAATTCTTCCTCAAGGGCACCTAAATCACTTCCAGGGATTTTTTAACATTTCAAGTGAACGCGCCCATTGAGTTCAGAATGCCGTCACAATCAACAGTGCCAAAAGACACAACGCTATGAGCCACAGGTGCCCCGCAAATATTAAGAAACGGTCTCTTCTCCTCACCACGCATTTCAGCAGGGAATAGCCCATGAAGTATTCGCCGTGATGTCAACTACAAGTCTGCTCATCATCTGCGAGACCTGTTTGCCTGCTTGCAGGGGTACATGCACTCGCCGCTTTTCCTTCAGGCACAACCAGAAGGACAGACGAGCCGATCAACGAAGCAGAGTGAAGAAAAGAACGAAACGAGCAAGGGCCTCTTTTGGACCAGCAAACACATTGCAATCCGCTATTACGGCACTTTTTCAAAGAAGTTTCAAAGCTACATGTTCGTTGTAGACTCGCACACAACTGCAACATTAAAACTAAATTCCAACCTCTGGGTGGTTCAGGGGCCCTTCATGACTACATAAAACTAATTATTCCGAATAAATAGGCCAGTTATACTGGAAAGCCACACTTGTAAATTATCGGTTACCTAAATGTATTCCTGTGTGAATTTGCACACCAACTTAACAAAACAATACAAAGAATTTAAGCATGAAGCCTCATGCCATGAGCACATAAAATGCACCAGATCAATGAAAGGACATGATCAAAATGAGCCAAAATATGTTAAAAATATAAAAACAAGTTGGCCTATGTGAAATTAGTATTTGGGTGCATTTAAATTCCTCTGACAGTGTCCCAGCAGAGAGAAAATAGATTTACTTGGCCTATGTCACTTATGACATTCTGCTGACTTGAAAGCACGATGCAGGACTACACTCTAAAAAAAGAGCGAGTAAAAAGGGCGTCTTTCTATCCCACAACAATAATTGTCATCTATATTGCGTTCCATCCTTGCGCTATCGCCCAGCGCCCGGTACATTCCGGTCATGATCGACATGCCCATTATCAGGGTTACATTGCATTCTCGATAGGAAAGTGGCCAGCACCGAGTTTTCAAGAAAGGAAGCGCACGTAAGCCGGATGACGATTATAGTTGTGGGACAAAAAGACACCATTTTTACTCGATATTTTTTTAGAGTGTACATACACAATAGATAACAATGATTAATGAATAGTGAAGCAGCCCAAGACTTCCACTGTAAACTTATTTTAACATAATTACTATTAACATACTGCAGAGCAAAATCATAATTACATTCCAAGGTGCTCAGGTAATTTACACCAAAATGTTTTTCTCTCACCTGCACCTCATGAACATGTGCACAGCTAAACACTCCTGCAAAGACAACAGTATGCGCTACCAACTACCCAGTCTCCAATAATACGTTGAAAACACAGGAACAGTTCATTAATGCTGCTGTTTTAAACTTAAACACTGCAGACTGTGCACAAAGACGGGCATTAAGAAAGACAAGTAGACAGGACAGGCACAATAATTGAGCTCATCCTGTGTACTGACTGTTCTTCGTCAAAGTTTTTTTGCACAGTTATACTATACGAGTTCATGAGCAAGCCCAAACAAAAGCTTAATTAAGTGCTGTAATGATACCAATTTTTTCCTTTACAAATTCGTACACTAACATGTGGAAAAACCAATTTTCAATGTCACTTTTTTAACTATAACTCATCAGGGGCTGGAGCCACTGAACATACGTAGCCACGATAGCATCACAATGCGGAATCCATAACAGTCAAAGTGGTGAATGATTCCAATGAAAAGGCCTGTTAGAAATAAAGGAGGATGAAGGGGCGGCAGGCACAAGCTGCGGGAGCTGGCTCGTTTAGTTGTTCCGTTGACCTTTGAATGTAGACAGAGGTTCAGGTCCAAGTCTCTCTCCGTTTTTCACAAGGCCTCAGAGATTCAATCCCGGCTATGTCCAAAGCATTCAACTCCTTGAAGGCTTCAAAAAAACGGAAACCTCTGCAACAACACGCAAATCACTATTAAAATTGCAACAAACACTCATAGTACACCTACAAAATCTTTTATACTTGGCATAACAAGACTTGCCTGTAAAAGTTACTCATAATGAATCACATTGATGGGTAGTTTTGTCATTGAGTGGTTACTTTTCAGTAACTAATCAACCATGACTACTTATACTGCATGCTCAAATGAATTCTACAACATTAGGCAATCGTGACTGGCAGATAGTACATTAACAAACACATATGCCCACGCATGCAGCACTCCAAGAGATTCAAACGTTCAGACAAGGAATACCTAGCAATGCTCAGTACTTGTTTCTTAACTTTGAGCAAACATTTTAACTAGCACAGTTATGGCGAGATGACGATGGCCACATTAGATGTCTCTAAAAGGAAATCAAGTAGTGACAATTTTTTTTTCCCATCTTTTGTAGCACTTATATGAATCTTGAGCAATAACAACATACCGTACTTTGAAGAGAATGCACAGAAGCAAACTGAGCCATTGAGTAAATACAATATTGTGAACAATTTTGTAGCACTAGTAGTTCTCAGGTTATGTGAAGCGACTATTCGGTGTCACCGTGTTCTATTATTAAAACAAATGTGACTGATACAAATTTTGAAGAACGATTGTCAAACCAATATAAAGAGCACATCAAGAGAAGCAGAGGATGGAATGAAACACAAATGCTGAAATGAAATATAAAATTTGGGAGATAAACATTGCAATCATTGTTTACTAATATTTCAGTCGATCTAAGAACTTCCCACAGTGATTCACAAACGCTAGTCAGTTTACAATTGAAAGGAGCCATTGTATATGGTTACTGATTTTTTGTAATGTGAATGGTCGGTTGTCAAACTGGAGCACATCAGTCATCTCGCACACGAATATCATTGTCAGACCACAACCAAAGTTCCAGGCAGCACATGTTATGTTGACATCTTTTGAAGAAAACTGGTCAGTGAGGTGAGGCACTGCCACACATCAGGCAGTCATATGCCAAATCACTGACAAACCATGGCAGCACACTCACTGGCACCACCTTGCAGGAAGAGCTCAGTGAATATCTTCTATAATGCAGGAACCTTAGGGAGATATTGAAATAAACATGAAACTGCATCGCTCCTCAATGTCCATTGACCGCGATCTACTCCTTTGGCTTCTGTATTTAACACATGTTTATTTTCAGGATGTCGGTTTATTGGAAGTAAATATTGCATGACTTCTCATAAGCGTTTTCTTTTTTTTTTCCAGAGAGGCATGAGCTTTTTCACCTCTGAAGGTGGTGCAGTGATGTTCCATAAGGTTTTTTTACAATGCAAGCGATTGTGAGGTCACAACAATAGCAGATTTTGGTGGTTGCATAGTTGTCTGTCGTCGCTGTTGTCCAAAACTGGTGTCGAGCTCAGTGAAAACACCCACAAAAAAACAACCCAGCATTGAGGATGATATAAGCCCAGGCTCTTTGCCTACCAGTAGGTCATTCTATCACAAAGCAATGCTGATGCTTCTTGATACCCTTTCCAAAAGGCCCTCAACAAGAGTCCCGTTAACACATACATGTGTTATATGCCAATAAAAAACTTGAATTTGACATCATGGAAGCAGCTTTTGAAGATATTGGTACTCTATGTCATGGCAATGTTGATGACAAACAAGCAGCGTCAGTGTGAGAACGAGGTAATAGGAATGTCTCTGGGCTTAAATAACGAAAGAACATGGATGCGATGTTTCGACAACAATAATGCGACATTGCAATCGTTACATGAAACATGTTGAAGCTTCAACAAGGAGGTTTCGGCAACATCAGCGCAAGCCACCTGCGAGCACCCACATCTCAGGCACACTATCTATGCAGCCCAACATGCTCAAATCGATCTTTGGTTCACTCAAGGCTCTTATGTGGACAGCCCTCCTGCCAATGATGCCAACCCTGCTTGACAAACTTGAACGCATCAACAAAACATGCATTCGCAGGCCACAGGGCTGCCGAAGTACACCAAACCTGTACGGAACAGGTCTACTCCTTCCATTAGGCCACTATGTAGAACCTGCACCGCAAGCTCAAAATAAGCGCCTAGAGCTAACTTGTGTGGGAAGAGCCATCAAAATTGAGCTATAGGTCTGAGCAACCAAGACCACCCTCAAATTTAACCCACCATTCCACCATGGGAAGATACTACCATGACAGATAATCGGCCACTTCCTAATCATATGAACCAAGCTTCTGAAAATCAGCAAAGGGGTTACTACGCTCAGCGGCATATTGAGTACCTTAAAAGTATACCACAGCTGGTCGCATGAGAAAGTGTGATAATGTTGGTCTTCTGTTGTTCTTTCGAGTAGCCCGAGAACCGCAGTAACTTTGATTATAAAGCTCAACAGAGCCTCTGACTGCGATGTGCGCCGTGTTAACTGCATTCTGATGACGCCCGCGATAAATATTGCACACACCGCTGCGACTACCGGTCATCCGAAATGGTGATGTCACCACTCAGCATCGCCCACGTAAGCTTTGAAGGCTCTAATGTTCTGGCTTTAACTAGCAAATGCTAGCATGCAGGTAAATGGTGAAATGTTGATCGTGACCACAATCGGGCTTTTTTTCCTGTTGGTCTCCACGATTGCCGGAGGTATATCTCAAGGGCCTCAGTTTTGCCTATCGTTGTACAGCGAGAGAAAAGACACGCATGTATCCCCGTTTGCAGTGTATACAAAACCGAAGACTGGCCATCAACAAAACATTCTAAACAGCTTC